AGGAAGGCCTCTGCTCCCATAGTGATGTAGTCTTTCAGCTGGGAACACGTTCGGTCATCACTTGCACAAATAAGGACTTGACCTAAAATTAGAAAACAATGCTATGGTACCATGATCTCTCTTATCCCCATATTACCCTGAGTCTCCTTACCTGTTTCTCCAATGGAGAAACTAAAGGTCCATAATTTACAAAATACTTAAAGAAGGTCTTAGGTACTTAAATGCTTTCATGTCTCTGGCAGGATTATTTAAATCTTTAGATAAAGTTGAAGCCAAAGCTATTAATATTTAGAGTCTTATTAAAGTATAGCCATGGTATAATAAAGGCTTTAAAGAAGCTCTTTTTAATTAATTATTTTTCAGAGGATCTTAAACATCAAAATAAATTCCAAATGGTTATAAAAGCAAATGTTAAATAGTAAATCATTAAAAAAAAAAAAAAAAGTCTTTTTTCATCTCTCCAGATGGAGATGGTTTCCCAGGCTTAAAAGCAGGGGAAGAGGTCCAGCCTCGGTGGTGCAGATAGCAGCAGTACTGAATGGCAATGACAGGAAGCCACACTGTGGGTTCAGACCCCAGGTTGACCTGAAACATGCTGGGTGTACAATCCCACGATCCTGAGGAGCTGGAGGGCTGGGGAAAGGGATTGTGCCGTGGCGCGACAAGACCCTATTGAGGGTGCCCGCCTCACTCTCTTTCTTTCACGTATGCCTATGCATGTGCTCTCTCTTGTGAATACAGTAAATAAAACCTCAAAATATTAAACTATTAAAAAAAAAAAAGCAATGGGAGAGATCTCAGAGGAGAACTGATACCTATACTTTAAGACAGACTCTGTAAGAATAAAAAAAGGAGTTAAAAATCTAACAACAGGGACCAGATTATAGTGTGGCAGTAAAACTCAACGCTCTGCAAGGTTCCCACATGGAAGGTTCCTGGTTTAAGTCTGCAGACCTCCCTGAGTATGCCATATACATGTGTGCCCATGATCTGAGGCTCAGGGTGGGATGGGTTATGGTGGCAGGATCCTGTTGGGGATGCTGTCTCTCTCTCAGAGATGCTATCTCTCTCTTAGGGGTACTAAGACAACTTATAAGAGAGGAAATGCATTTGACAGACTATTAGTTCATTGAATATCAAAATTTAAACAAGGTACCTTTTTGCAACAATGAAATTAATAATATATATAATATATATATACACAATATACATTATATATTAATATAATAATTATATATATTAATAATATGAAATGTGCATACACACACACATATAGAGAATTTCCAGTCATGGTTAGTTGAGTGAAAAAGAGATAAACTAGAAAAAATTAAGGAAAACTTTCTATACATAAATGTGATAATGTCTCAAGAATTTTAACAACATCAACACCACTTGACCTGTTAGTCCTATATCCAGAAAGCATGACTTTAACAATATGAAACAGAAAATAAATTAAGAAAAAATCTGGAAGGAAATGTTAGCATTGGCTGCTAGACATAATTTCTTTCCTTTTCCTTTTTCTTTGGCTTTTAACTTTCTCTACGGAGGGAAAGCATGATTTTGGGTTGTAAATTACAGCACCATAAATTCTGGGATAATATTACTAGCATATTTACTAATGTAAAGATTGTGTCTTTGCTTTTATTGCTTCACAGGAATTCAAAGACTCAATATAAGTGGGTTTTCTCTTATTTTCTATCAGTTTTTTTTTTTTAATTTATCGTTCAGAGTTAGTCTACTGTGCTAATCTATGAATATTACCCATGTTTGAAGAAGGTGGCCCTAAAATCTGGAATTTTTTTGAAGGGCTAAGTCAATGTCACTCCATAGAGTTTAGGCTTGTTTGGAATGATATTTGCTGAGGATACAAAACAGAAGACCCATTAACTTACTCCTTTGGGATTTCAGACTCCAAGCCTGGAATGGAGACTAGCTGACTCTTTAAATAGAGGTCCTGAGAACCCCTCCAATACAAAATCTTGCTGTGGTTCTACCTGGAGGAAAATCACATCGAATGAACAGAAACCAATTGCCACCAGCACCCTAGTGCTAATTTGGCATTTATTCATCTACATTTTATAAACAAGACAGTGAGTCACTATTAAAGAGCTAACCAAATCAAACCTCATTTGACAGATTTTGAGAGCCAATGTCATCCTCTCCTATTTTCCTACCTGGACCACCAAGAGCTTCACTTTCTTTATTTTCTGCTTCAATTTCTTTCAGTACTTCAGTCAGTGCCTCCCACTTGGGGTTGCTTTCTAGGACCAGCTCCTTTCTTGTTTCTGGACAGAAATAAAAGATAACCTCATTTTATGTGATAGTAGTTACCCAGAAAGTATCCCAAAGGCTTTTAAAACAAGAGATGACACAAGCATTACTACATAAGCCTGCTTCTTTGAGGTTTCTTCATAATGCAAGACGGAATCTGCCTTCTTGGAAAAGGCCTGAATGAAAGCCACTTCGGCATTAACATGGGTTTCCTAATGCCTTGATTGAAGGCAACATGCACAAGGCTGGCAGGTGGTGTGGCGGTTAAGGTGCTGGACTCCCACGTGGCCCACAGTGGTTTGAGTCCTGGACCTGGCAGCTTGTTTTCTCACTTTCCCTTTCTCTCTCCGGTCAAGTTAAAAAATAAATAAAAATAACAAATAAAATAAAATAAATAATTTTTTAAAAAAAGGTAACATGTATGGCTACTAATAGATGATTCTCTGTTAGCTGGTGACTGTGACACTACACATAAGCTGCTACATAAGATAAAGGAATCACTACAGAATGACAGTATTTATTAATTCTAAAATCTTCATGATATTTACAGTCCTGACCGTGGACTAAAGTTGACAACAATCAAACTTTTATTTCTATAAGTACTCAACTCATCATCAATATGTTCCTTATGCTTTGAAATGGACCTTTAAATTAGGCAGGAAGCAAGCATTAACCCTATTGCATGCTTTAAAAAACTAGTGTTATTTATGATCCCTATTAGATGAATGTTGGAATGAAACTCACATTTTCCTCATTCTACAATAGTAAATTACGTATGTTACATATAACACATGTATTTAATACACGGGCACACATTTTCCACATGGCCAAAGGAGATCTGAAATTATACTTTAATTTGGAAAGCATTTCTACACTGAATACTTAAATAAAGACACATTAAAAGATCTAAGCCTACAAGATACCTTGCCCTTCTTTATTCTCCATTTTTTCAGACATTTTGCTTTTTTTATTCATTTTGCCATCTGGAACATGATAAACCCTTGCTCGAGCGTTTACGAACATTGACGTGCTGGAGTCAAGAAACAGCCAACCTAATAAGAAAAGGTAAAAAAAAAAAAAAAGCAAAGAGGACTTCACAATTTTGGTAATTAAAAAAAATTTAGTTCTATTCATTTACTTATATTTTTTATTTGATCAGAGAGGGAGAGAGAGAGAAAGGGAAAAAGGAAGCTGCCAGGTCTAGAACTTGAACTATGGTTGGCCATGTGGGAGTCCAGCACCCTCAACCACCACACCCATACCACATTCCGGCCCCAAGGTTAATTTTAAATGATCTCTAATTATCACATGACCTAGATATACAACTGGCTGCCATCTTATTTTCATACCAAGCCACTTTGTCCACTGTGGCCTCTGTCACTTTTTTGCTAGACCAGTGGTTTCCAACGTGTGGTATTGGCGGGGCCTGAAAATGTTTCCAGAAGGGGTCTAGGTCAAAACTTTTCTCATGTTAACACGACATTATTGGTCTTTTTCCGTCGTGTTGATACTCCAGTGATGGTACGGAAGCATGTAGGTAACACTGCTGGTGCCTTGTGCAGACCAAAGTGGTGGCATGAAAGCATTCAGCAGCCAGTGCACTTGTGGCTGTCAGGCACCTGCAGCTTCCTACTTAAGGATGCCCGAACAAGCAATAAACATCATTATTGTATTAAATCTTGACACAAGGACCATTTGAGAAACTACCCTTTGAAAACCACTGGTCCAGTTAAACAGTGACAGAGGCCGTACTAGTGGTAGAAAACAAGGTAGTAGTTGGTTATGTACAAAAGGTCTTCAAAAAGTTCACGAAGAATGTGTATTGTGAAAAAAAACTGTGTACAGATTTCAGAATTTTTTGTACCAAAATAAACCTGTACTTCAGTTCCATTTTTCCATGAACTTTTTGAAGTCCTCTTGTACATTTTCCTACAAATTTCTTTTACTCTTAAGTCTCTGGCACTGTAGCTGGTGAAACCCCATACTTCCTTGCTGTTTCTTTTGGGGGAAATGAACTTAAAGTTCTTAACAACTTAACTGCCAGAACATAATCTATTCTAAGTTAGGGACTGCCTGTACTATGCACAGTCTTTTTGAGAAATAAAATTGCCCAGAATGGATATGAATATTTATTATTACACAGAACAGAAGTTAAGTAGGCGGAAACATTAGCTATCAATAAAACCTACATCCCTGTGCTATGAACATAAAATGTAATCTGAAATCTTAGTATAATATGCAGTTGAATATAGCACTCCCACACCTGATTCTCCCCAAAATCTAACACTTTATTCAAATCAGCTTCTAGAATACTATATTTTTATCCCCCACCTGAATTCTGGCCAAAAGCCTTTTCTGATGCTCTCAGAGATTCCAAAAGATTAAGAAATGTGACACAGTCATACTGAGAGAGATACTGCAGCAATGTTCGTAAGATCTTTAGATCCTGAACCAACGACTTAGTCTTGGCTCCAAGCTGGTGCCACAAAGGATCCAGATAATGGCGGATTGTCTAAAACAAGAATAAAATTCAGTAACTGAAATATATTCAACATAGTTCATGTTAATGTAAGTCATACTTCCAAAAAGGATTAGTGCTGACATTATCTAAAAATGAATAAAATGGCAAATTTTGTTATGCATATTACAATTAAAAAAAAAATCCAAAACATTATTTTTCAAAGAAGTAGCTAAAATTTCAGTTAATAAAATTCTAACAATAAGGTTTAAATTTTCAAAGACAGACCCACAGTGATCTTTGTGATCAGATAGAGTTAATGTATAATTACCAGTGTTTGTATAAGTGCCAGGAGAGGGAAGACCTGATAAACAGTAAATAATCAATCATTTGTTTTTATGAAAGAGGCAGAACATGTAGCTCAAATATGTTCAATTTCTGCAAGGTTGGCTCTGACTCTATCATGGGTAAAGACGTGGGATCCAGGTGGACCATGGAGCAGATGGTATAAACCAGGTAAATAATGGGTATCAAATTAAATAACAATGTACCTAAATTTGTTAGTATAAAGATTTGCTTAGTTTTTTTTTTTTTAAAGTTGATTCATGATAATTATGAAAATATTTGTTAAAATAACAACTAAGTTTGAATTTTTTTTTTTTTGAGAGATGTTTGTTATAGGGTGTGTGGGCTCACCAGAGATACAGAGAAGACAGAGACAGAAAGTAAAAATCAAGCCCCGGGGGGATGAACTTGGCATAATCCCATCTTCTCCCTTATCTTCTTGGGATCTTGGGCTCACATGCGCACATGTCCAGCTAGAGTTTTAAGCCACCGGGTGTGGGATTCAAACTGCAGTCGGCCATGTGGGAGTCCAGACCACTATGCCACCTGTTGGTCCCAAGTTAGAATATGTTTAATAGCTCAAAATTGACCTAAAGTGGGGCCAGCAAGTGGTGTGATGGTTGAAGAGCTGGACTCCCACATGGCTGACCATGGTTCAAGTCCTGGCTTGCTTTCTCACTTTCCCTTTCTGTCTGTCTGTCTCTCTCTGGTCAAAATTGAAAAAAAAAAAAAAAAAGAAGATAATAAATATATATTAAAAAATCTTTAAACATTTTTTTTTTTTTTTTTTACTTAAAGCAAAGAACACCATCATGTAGTACTCTGTAAGTATCTACTTATCTTCAGTTAGGTACATTTATATTTCTTCACAAACTAATTCTGTTTGTGAAAAGAATTCCTTTTTAGTTAATGGAATTATCTGATGACTAGCAGATATTTGTAGTATGACATGGAAGCAGTATAACTGTGTGGCATCTTATCTAATAAATTTAACACTGTGCAGGGATAATGTTTAGGTGACCATATAATTTACTGTCCAAACTGGGACACTCGTGAAAATGAAATGAGACTATTATCACTCCAGGACAATGGTAGGTACTGGGGTTGTTCTAGACAACGTGGACATATAGCTACATCCCTCTTCTGTAAAATCATCTACAAAAGACTACTTGTCTTTTTAAAGATTTATTTAATTTTGTTATTATTATTTTTTAATTTGACCAGAGAGAGACAGAGAGAGAGAAAGAGAAAGTGAGAAAGCAAAGCTGCTAGGTCGGGGACTCAAACCACGGTCGGTCATGTAAAAATGTGCTAGGGAGTATGTGTGCTCGCTGGAAAGAAACGGAGAGGGAAAGAGGGGAAAGTGAGAAAGCACCCCTCATGGTGAATGGTCATGATGCAATCTCTTTTCCATTTGTCCATTTGGGATTTTTGGACACACACACACATGTGTCTGGCATTGTTTTTCCAAGCAGTCATATCTGAGACTTGAATTGCCCAGATGGCCATGTGGGATCCAGCAGCCTTAACCACCACGTCACCAACTGGCCCAAAAGATTAATTATTATTATTCTTTTTTTTCTTTTTTCTTTCTTTTTTTTTTTTGAGAGATTTTTGCCATAGGGCATGTGTGCTTGCCAGAAAGACAGAGAAAGATAAAGAGACAGAAAGCGAGAAATCACCTCCCGGGGGGATAGCCACGCCGTAGTCCCTTCTCCTCCATTCTCCCCTCGGGATCTTGGGCATGCACGTACACGTGCCTGGTGTGAGTTTAAGCCACCGGGTCCAGGACACGAACCGTGGTAGACTACATGGGAGTCCAGCGACATAGCCATTACGCTAACTGCTGGTCCCATATTATTATTATTTTTTTGAGAGATTTTTGCTATAGGGTGCGTGTACTCTCCAGAGTGACAGAAAGCAAAAAATCACCCCCAGGGGGAATGGGCATGCTGTAATCCCTTCTCCTCCAAGCTCTTCTTGAGATCACTGGCATGCATGTACATGTGCCCAGCATGAGTTTTAAATTTCTGGGTCCAGGACTTGAACAGCAGTTGGCTACGTGAGTCCAGTGACATAACCATTATGCCATCTGCTGGTCCCCAAAAGATTAACTTTAAAAAATTAAAAAATGATTTATCTATCTATTTATTTTAATTTGACCAGAGAGGGACAGAGTGAGAAAGAGAAACCAAGCCATCAGGTCCAGGACTCAAACCGTAGTCGGCCACGTGGAAGTCCACTGCCCTTAACCACCATGCCACCTGCCAGGCCCCAAAAGATTAAATTTTTTAAAAAGATACAAACTATGTCTATATTTTGATGTGGTTACTAAGGGAATATCTTAAATGGTATTTTGGTTCTTAATAGCCAGGGATGATGGAATTTACTGTGAAACAAATTAGGCTGTGTCTGTTTTTCTAGAGATATATAGGTTTTACTAAAAGACTCTGAAGTAATTTTTCCTTTTCAAAAATCACCATGCAGGGACCAGCAGTTGGTGTAATGGCTATGTCACTGGACTCCCATGTAGTTGACCGCGGTTCGAGTCCCAGACCTGGTGGCTTAAACTCAATGGGCACGTGTGCGTGCGTGCCCAAGATCCCGAGAGGAGAATGGAGGAGAAGGGATTGCGGCGTGGCCATCCCCCCTGGGGGGTGATTTCTCACTTTCTGTCTCTCTGTCTCTCTCTGTCTTTCTGGTGAGTGCACATGCCCTATGGCAAAAACCTCTCCAAAAATAATCACCATGCATTATTTCCAATGACACAGAGATTGCTTCAGATTTTAAAAGACAGAAATTTTTCTACCAAAACTGAAAAAAAAAAAAAAAAAGGAAAGCTGCCTGGAATTTTTAAAAAGTCAGCATCAGCATCTTTTAGATCTACAATTCAATATCAGACATTTAAATATTTATGTTAATATTAATCTATAATTAAAAAATAGAATAAATTCCTTGAACATCTTACCATTTTGTCAATCCAAAATATAATTTTAAGATAAAGTTTCAGATTCCTCAGTTATGAAAACTCAGATTGCTTTCTTTTCCAAAATAATCATAAATTTATATACAATTGTGACACATTCTTATGTAAAACTCTTATCTATAAACATCCAAATGTTGTTATTTCAGAGCAAAAAAGTTATTTATCCTCTTCTTGATTATACTTCAAATAAGAGTCACTTACTGGAAAACTGCAAAAGTCAGAGTTATGCTTTTATGCTAATCCACATATTTTTCATACAAATTATTATTTTCCAGTAAACCAAACAAACTATACTTTAAATCACCTCCAATTTAACTCTAAAATAACAGCAAATTCTTACTAAGAACACCACAAATACTAAAATACAAATTGAATTCTTTAATTATAACAAGCTGTGCTTAAAAAGGAAAAGAGAGAGAGTACCTTGTCAAAAGGTTTTCCAATAGCATTTTCTAAAGATAAATCTTCTACTTCAAGTGATGGGTTGTGGCATTTCAGTTCCTTCAGACATGCATTTAAAATATCCAGGATAGCAGTCTGGATAGCAAGCATGGCAGGTGTCATGGACACATGAATTTCTACAACTTCAGGTTTGTGCTGCTCTAAAAACGAATGTACTGCTACATGGAACCTAAAGAAACAAACATTTCTCAATTTACGAGAGTTTCAACAGCCATGTATGTCTTGTTTTCGTTTAACACTCTAGTAGTTTTATTGTAAACGCAATTAAGAAAGAAAGAAAATGGAGGGCAAAAGGACTGCTTTCAGGAACACTTTGAACCTCGATGAATGAAGTGTTATTCGAATAGGGCAAGGGCTAGCCCTGTTTTTATATTCTTAACAGAACACAGCCATGCCTACTGTTTATGTATTGCCTGTCTGCTGCTGAGCCATGACAGCAGAGATGAGTAACAATGTAATGTCTGCATACAGTCTATAAGGCTCCAAGTATTTACTATTTGGCTATAGAGGTAGTTTGTTGACCTCTGAAATAGGTATAATCAAGAAAGGACACATATTACAATAATTACTCTTAAAATAGAATATAGTATAACCAAAATGCATATTAGCATACTTGGCAAAAATGACTGTTCACGGGACCAGCAGTTAGCGTAATGGCTATGTCGCTGGACTCCCACGTAGTCGACGGTGGTTCGAGTCCCGGACCCAGTGGCTTAAGCTCACGCTGGGTGCGTGTGCCTGCGTGCCCAAGATCCCGAGAGGAGAATGGAGGAGAAGGGATTGCAGCGTGGCCATCCCCTCTGGGGGGTGATTTCTCGCTTTCTATCTCTCTGTCTCTCTCTGTCTGGCGAGCGCACGCGCCCTGTAGCAAAAACCTCTTCAAAAATAAAAAATAAAAAAATGTCTGTTCGCTGAAAGCTTATGTTCATCCTACAAATTGACACAAGTTCTTCAAAGTCTTTGCACTTTATTTCCACGATGAGTGATTTTCAAAGTGGAAGTGGTACTCTTGGCCAGTGAATCTGCAGCCTACCACAGGTTGTCTTATGTGAGGGCCTCCACGTCCTTGGGGTTGCCACCAAAGGTACAAGAGAGGATAAAGCGGCTGTCGTTGGATGGATCCAATGGACTCCTGGAGAGGTAACTATCAAATTACTCTCTATTTTTGAAAGACTCACAAATGTGGTGAGTCTTTAGATGCATTTGTTACACACTTGAATAGGATCCACCCAGTGCAAATGCAGTGAGTTTTACATTATGACATTACAGTAAAGTACATCTAAGGGAACCAGCAGGAGGCATAGTGGTTAAAGTGCTGGGCTCCCACATGGCTGACCACAGTTCAAGCCCTGCACCTGGCAGCTTAAAAATCACACTGGGTCCATGTGTGTTTGTACCCCAAATCCCAGGAGAAAGAAGGGATTTGGCATGGTCATCCCCCTGGCAGGTTTTCTCACCTTCTCTCTCACTGTCCCTCTCTTTCTCTCTGGTGAGTACATATACACTACGGCAAAAATCTTAAAATTAATCAAAAAAAGTGTAACTCTTGTTACGGCAGATCTTCTCACAAAAATTCATCACATAATGGTATTTACCTTGGCCACAGATAAAGCTTCTTCACGAAAAGATTTCTCATCACACTTTCCACATGACAAAAACCAGTATCAAAGGCAACAGCATTGTCTGTGAAAGCTTTAATAAAACCACGTTTGTTTTTCTGGCGAAAGAGGCGCAAGATGAATGCCTCTTGACAAGACTCAATTATTCGGTGGGCTCTATACACCAAAATGCCTGAGGGAGAAAATGACAATTTAAATTACAGATGAGACACATAATGCTCATTTTTTTGTTTCTTCATCCCATTTCTTTTTTTTTTTTTTTTTTTTTGGAGAGGTTTTTGCTATAGGGCACGTGTGCTCACCAGACAGAGAGAGACAGAGAGACAGAAAGCGAGAAATCACCTCCCGGGGAGATGGCCACACCACAATCCCTTCTCCTCCATTCTCCTCTCGGGATCTTGGGCATGTACGCACACATGCCCAGCTTGAGTTTTAAGCCACCGAGTCCAAGATGTGAACCGCGGTCGACTACGTGGGAGTCCAGCGACATAGCAATTACGCTAACTGCTGGCCCCTTCATCCCATTTTTCATGAGACATGCAATAACAGAAAGTAAAATATTTAGTATGTTATAAATGCTAAGGAGAAAAAAATGAATCAGAGGAGAAGAGGGAGTCTGTGTGAAGGGTGGCGGTCTACGGTTTTAGAGTAAAGTCTGGATGGAGAAGAGACGAGCACTGTGACCATCTGGGTCCAGGGAGTTCCAGGCTGAGAAGACAAGAAGAGCAAAGAACATGCCCCGGGGTGGGGCTTGTCTGGCACATGGAGGAAGAATCTCGGCAAGCAGAGCAGGTCACTAATGCTGTTTTTATATATGAACCAGATGTGGACTACATAGAATAGCTGTATTTTAGGAGTCTGGGCAACATCTGCTGGACCTATTAGATTAATTCCGTTTTCAGAATCACAGTATATTCAAATTAAAGGTAAATCAGTTCATTTAAAATAAAAAGCTTTAATGACTATATATATTTTTTGGGGGGAGAGGTTTTTGCCATAGGACGTGTGCGCTCGCCAGACAGACAGACAGACAGAGAGACAGAGACAGACAGAAAGCGAGAAATCACCCCCCAGGGGGGATGGCCACACCACAATCCCTTCTCCTCTATTCTCCTCCCGGGATCTTGGGCACACACACACACCTGCCTGGCATGAGTTTAAGCCACTAGGCCCGGGACTCGAACTGCAGTCAACTACATGGGAGTCCAGTGACATAGCTGTTATGCTAACTGCTGGTCCCTAATGGCTATATTTAATATATTTAATACATGTGTTTCTTTTTTGTGTGGGGGAGTATGATTATATACCCCCAAATCTCAAAAACAAGAACTATTATATAGATGCAGGGAATTCCCAAAGTTTTGGAAAAAAGGGAATTAAAGTATGAGTTTATTTTGGTGCAAAAAGTTTTAAATCCATGCATAGTTTTTTTCATTTAAAAAATAGTTTTCCACAAATGTTTGGAAGGCCCCTCATGATTCCTTATCTAGAAAACGAGAACGCTGGACCAGAAACTGTTTCACCTACATGTGCTATTCTGATGCAGTGTGGCTGGTAGTCAATTAGGGAGACACACGAAATCATGAAGGGTTTACGGACGTCATTTCTGATTAAAACTCAACAACTCTATGATGATTCCTAGGATGCTTAGTCTTTGAGGCCTAAAATGAGCTAGTTGCCTTATGTGTATGTGCTGTGAATGTACATCTATGCTTTTGTGCCAGTTCTTTTCACCTGTAGGGCCTGGAAAACGACATGGATAGGGACCCATCACCCTCCTAGTAGATGGAAACTCCATTCAAGTTCTACTATTTTGGTGTCTAAATTTTGTATTGAGGTGAATGGAGCTAACATTTACTCTAGCTAGACAAATGAGTTTAAAAATATGGTTAAAATTAACAGCACTGTTTAGAAATCTGTAGAAAGGGCTTCTCAAACATACATGCCTATGGCTGATTTACTATTCAGAAAATATTCTGTATCTAGTAGGTAGGTTTTGCCAAGGACTCTACTAGCCACAATTTGTTAGCCTGCACTGAAATATTACAAAAAGTTAAAGACAATAAAAATGGATTAATAGGGGCCAGCAGGTAGCATGGTGCTTAAGGTGCTGGACTCTCACATGGTGGAATGTGGTTCGAGTCCCAGACCAGGAGACTTGCTTCTTCACTCTCTCTCCCTCTCTCTAGTGAGTGCACATGCACTACACCAAATAAATAAATAAATAAAACTAGATAAATAATTTATTTAAAAAAATAAACTTTTAAAGGGAAAGTGAACCTCAATTTAAGAAAATGCTGTGCTCTAAAAGGTTTTCATTCCTTTGGAACCCAGGAGGGGTGAGAAGAGTACTACTGTATTCCAAGAACTGGGTTTGGAACCTTTAAAGATATATTTTTTTTTAAAGAATTCTTTTATTTTTAATTTTATTCATGATGATGATGATGATGATTTTTAAAAATCTGACCAGAGAAAGAGAGAAAGCAAGCTGCCAGGTGTGGGACAACAGACCGCGGTCGGCCATGTGGGAGTCCAGAGCCTCAACCACCACACCAACTGCCGGCCCCAGCTTTATAGATTTGTATTTCCTATAATCTTCATGATAATTACATGAGGTAGCCATTATTATGTGTCCCAGAAAGGAAAGCAATTTGATCAAGGTCATTTAGCAAGTAAGTGGAAGGTCAAAGATTTCAAATCATGAGGAAAGTATATTTTTCCTACTAATTGATGCTACCTTGAGAACTTCCCCTTTTTAAAGAAATAAAAGCAACACAAGCAGGTTAGGTTTCTGGGGGGGCAGTTCTCATCCCACAAAAGCTTATTTTATTTGCTATGCCCCTACGACATTTTGTACCTCACACTGTACTGTAACTGCTTCCTTTTGTTTCTGTCTCCACTAACAACAGGATCCCCGTTAATTACAACAGGTAGTCATCACTGAGTACTTGTGTGGTGTTATGCATAATAGGTATTTTACATATATCACCTCTTTCACTCTTACAATAATCCTAGGAAGAAGCTACCATGCTAATTCACACATGAATACACTGAGGCACAGAGAAATGAAGATGCTTGCCCCAGGTCCCATATTTGGTGAAGGTGAGCTCAAACTCAGAAGTGTTCTATAACTCAAGCCCACTACAGTGTTTGGCTCAGCTATCTTCATCACCTCGCTTGTTCTGCCAAACAAGGGACTCTTAGTAAATGTTTAATGAATATAAAGATGAATTATAACACAAATCTAGATTGTAACTTAAAAAAAACATTCGGCCCTTCCCCCCCCAATACCAGGATCAGCTTAGCAATAAAAACCTCCTCCTTCCTGTATTTTTTGCAAGTACAATCTGTGCAGATATTTACAGTCCTCCCTTTCTAGAAGAGCTTAGGTGCAGGGACAGTTAGGATAGCATGTGGTGTTGGTAATGGGTAGTGACAGAGGAATGAGTTGGGGATGGGGAGACTCAGTTCTTCCCAGGGGGTTTTTGCTTCAGGGGTTGCTTCAGAACTTTGGTGAAAAGTCTTAAGGTGGATCTTGAGGATGAAGAATTTGAAAGCATTTCTGCCATTCATTTGCATTTCATTCAGCCAAGCAACAGTGGCAGCTTTAGCTTCTTTACTAGTTGCACAGGATTAGAAAGAGAGGGAATTTGAAACTTTTAATTAGGAACTACCTTGGGACCAGCAGATGGCTAATTTTATTCATGATGATGATGATGATGATTTTTAAAAATCTGACCAGAGAAAGAGAGAAAGCAAGCTGCCAGGTGTGGGACAACAGACCGCGGTCGGCCATGTGGGAGTCCAGAGCCTCAACCACCACACCAACTGCCGGCCCCAGCTTTATAGATTTGTATTTCCTATAATCTTCATGATAATTACATGAGGTAGCCATTATTATGTGTCCCAGAAAGGAAAGCAATTTGATCAAGGTCATTTAGCAAGTAAGTGGAAGGTCAAAGATTTCAAATCATGAGGAAAGTATATTTTTCCTACTAATTGATGCTACCTTGAGAACTTCCCCTTTTTAAAGAAATAAAAGCAACACAAGCAGGTTAGGTTTCTGGGGGGGCAGTTCTCATCCCACAAAAGCTTATTTTATTTGCTATGCCCCTACGACATTTTGTACCTCACACTGTACTGTAACTGCTTCCTTTTGTTTCTGTCTCCACTAACAACAGGATCCCCGTTAATTACAACAGGTAGTCATCACTGAGTACTTGTGTGGTGTTATGCATAATAGGTATTTTACATATATCACCTCTTTCACTCTTACAATAATCCTAGGAAGAAGCTACCATGCTAATTCACACATGAATACACTGAGGCACAGAGAAATGAAGATGCTTGCCCCAGGTCCCATATTTGGTGAAGGTGAGCTCAAACTCAGAAGTGTTCTATAACTCAAGCCCACTACAGTGTTTGGCTCAGCTATCTTCATCACCTCGCTTGTTCTGCCAAACAAGGGACTCTTAGTAAATGTTTAATGAATATAAAGATGAATTATAACACAAATCTAGATTGTAACTTAAAAAAAACATTCGGCCCTTCCCCCCCCAATACCAGGATCAGCTTAGCAATAAAAACCTCCTCCTTCCTGTATTTTTTGCAAGTACAATCTGTGCAGATATTTACAGTCCTCCCTTTCTAGAAGAGCTTAGGTGCAGGGACAGTTAGGATAGCATGTGGTGTTGGTAATGGGTAGTGACAGAGGAATGAGTTGGGGATGGGGAGACTCAGTTCTTCCCAGGGGGTTTTTGCTTCAGGGGTTGCTTCAGAACTTTGGTGAAAAGTCTTAAGGTGGATCTTGAGGATGAAGAATTTGAAAGCATTTCTGCCATTCATTTGCATTTCATTCAGCCAAGCAACAGTGGCAGCTTTAGCTTCTTTACTAGTTGCACAGGATTAGAAAGAGAGGGAATTTGAAACTTTTAATTAGGAACTACCTTGGGACCAGCAGATGGCATAATGGTTATATTGCTGGACTCCCATGTGGGCGACTAAGATTTGAGTCCTGGACCCGGAGGCTTGGCGCCAGGCACATATGCATGTATGCCCAAAATCTCAAAAGGAGAATGGAGAAGGGATTGTGGCATGGCCATGGCCATCCCCCTTGGGGGGTGATTTCTCACTTTTTGTCTCTGTCTCTCCAGCCAGCACACATGCCCTATAACAAAAGTCTCACTAAAACAAACATACACACACAAATTTAGAACTACTTCTAAGCCAGACTTCAAAACTGCATTGATTCTTTTTTTTTTTTTTAAGGTACTCACAGATTTTTAAACTTTAATAACTTTAAAAGGTAAAAAGAAAAAAAATCAGTAAAAGCTATTTGAAAGTAAAAATGTTAACATTAATTATAATTATACAATTTATATACTGTACTACAGATCTTGACTGACCAAAAGAAATCATGAAGTAAATTACGTATGTGAATAACAAAATTAAGAGTGTAAGAAATATAAAGAAAAGATTGCACTTTGAAGTATTTACATTTAAAAAATCATACCTGTAACCTAATGTATTAAAGTTCAAAATTTTAACATACCAGATATCTCAAAAAAGCATTAAAGTTTATCATATAAAACAACTTGACACATTTACTTATCACTGTACTAAACATTTAAGAGAATGTCACTTTGTTATACTTTGTTATCCTGAACTTTCAGTGAAAATAACAGGGCAAGGCTGACACCTAGTGGTTGGTCATCTCTACACATTTTTCCCACATTTTATCAACTTGAAAAACAAAAATACAACCAAGTCTACAAGAAAGCAACAGAAGACTTTATGATGTATCATGATTTCTGGCTCTAAAAAGTCAATGTTTTTTCCTATCATTGTTAAGAATTTACTATATACCAGGCACTATACTAAGCAATTTATTTGATCTTATTCAATCCTTATTAACTCTAGGGGGCACTATTTTCTTGATTTAAGAAATGTGAAAGCTGAGGTTTAGAAAATTAAGAAACTTGCTTTGCAAACAGGGTGTTAGCATTCAGAGTTGGATAAGTCGAACTGCAAGGGCCATGCTACTGTTTATAATAATGATATATATATATATATATATATATTAGAGGGGATGGCCACACCGCAATCCCTTCTCCTCCATTCTCCTCTTGGGATCTTGGGCACGCACGCACACGCGCCCAGCGTGAGTTTTAAGCCACCGGGTCCAGGACTCGAACCACGGTCGACTATGTGGGAGTCCAGCGACATAGCCATTACGCTAACTGCTGGTCCCAATGTTATTTACAAACAACACTGTTGTTTAAAATGTTATTTAAATTTTTTTTCTTCAATTAGTTCACTATGAACTATATAAAGCATTCATTCATACATTAAGTATTTCTTGAGGTTGTCTTGAAATAGAATAGCTAAGGAGCAAATTATGATTATGAACGGCATAGTCTCTCTGCCTTCTAGTTCATCAAAGATCACAGTAATCATCCGTCAATCATCCAAAAAGTACACGTTTGGTATCTACCATATACCCATTATTTAGCCTGGGATGAACCAGTTGTTCTTTGTGCTTAAGAAGCTTATCTTGTGAGAGAGACAGACAAACAGGCAAATATAATGTAGTGTTCTGTGTGCTAATACCAGGGACAAGCATGGGATAGTCTGAAGGCACAGAGGCAGGGCCCCTAAATTACCTTTTGGAGAAATTAGAAAAGGTCTCTGAAAAGTCAAATACAGTAAACCTAATTCAGGTTTTCTATTAATTGTACCCCAAATTTAAATGATTTTTCTAAAAAAAAAAAAATTTAAGCAATTACTTGCTTTAATTTCAAATCATGGGAAAAACACTCAGAGGAAACTGAGTATTTTAGGAAATACACAAAGATTATTTGTAAACACTTCAAATCTGATTAAGTTCTAAAAGCAAATGCCAGCTAATTAGAAGTATTTACTGAATATGAGCTTAAGAAACAAGGAAAAGTCAATTTCACACTTAGTTAACCTATCCAGGTCACAAATATTAATGAGCATCTGCACTGTGCCTCCTGTATCTTGCTAAAAGCTGGCAGGCCAATGTTGAGCATGAAGATCCAGCAGTGTCCATAAGAAGGTTCTAGCTTAGACTTTCACAGGAGGCATGGTCAAAAATACATGCACATTTATATACAAATCATGATAAGATTTCAAATCCTTACCCGTGATTAAATCTGAAGGTATCCTATCAGTCAAGAAATCAACCACAAGTATTCGACTTGTTGCAAAGATCACACCACCTTGTGTGTAAACCTCGTAGCGGCCGTTATTTGGGATTTCATTGGTTACACGGCGAGGGAGATGATCAACTCCTTCTATCTTCAGTTGATTGATAAAATACTCCTGAATCAAATCAGAAAGGTATTTAAAAGGATGTATTATCTTTCTCAGAGAGAATGAACTTAATGAATACTCAAACTAAGTTACTACTAATACTTTATGTTGATCAACCAACCAGTTGACTTTTTTAAGTAGGGTTTTGTTTGTTTGGAGGTTTGCTAAGGAATTACAATTCAATCTCTTTGGCACCTTAACAACAAGTAAAAATACTTTTTAAACCCTAGGTTAAAAGACTTCTGCTGTGGAGCCAGCAGGTGGCATGGTGGTAAAGGCATGCTGGACTCCCACACGGTCGACCAAGGTTTCAGTTCCAGACATGATGCCTTGCTTTCTTACTTTCTCTCTCTCTCTGATCAAATTTAAAAAATAATAATGATGGAACCAGCAGTTAGCGTAAGGCTATGTTGCTGGACTCCCACGTGTTCGACTGTGGTTCGCGTCCCAAACCCGGTGGCTTAAAACTCACACCGGGCGTGTGTGCATGCGTGCCCAAGATTCTGAAAGGAGAATGGAGAAGGGATTGTGGCGTGGCCATTCCCCCCTGGGGAGTGATTTTTCGCTCTCTCTCTCTGTGTCTGGTGAGCGCATGCACCCTATAGCAAAAACAAAACAAAACAAAACAAAACCCTCTCCCCCCCCCAAAAAAAATGATTATAAGTAAAATTAAATAAATCTTAAAGAAAAAAAAGACTTCTGTTACTTACAGAGTATTTCCCACTAAAGCCAGGTTTATGGCAAAGTGTACAAAGGAAAAAATTGCAGAATAGAATTAAAATAAGAGTTTATTTTGCTACCAAAAAAAAAAAAAGGAAAGAAATCTGGGCATAGCACTGTCTGTGAACGTTTTGAAGGCCCCCTCATATTCTCTGAGACGACAAAGGAATCTGTTCCCCAGACAGTGTTTTAGACTACATGTTGAGTATCCTTTATCTGAAATGTTTGAGATTAGAAGTGTTTTGAATTTTTTTTTTTTTTTGGAATACTTGCATATACATAGTGAGATATCCTGAGGGTGGGACCCACATTTAAACATGAAATTAATTTATGTTTCATGTACACCTTATACACAGAGCCTGACAGTAATTTTATACAGTATTTTTGTCTTGTAGCATTTTGACTGTGACATATCACATGAGGTCAGGTGTGGAATTTTCTGCTGTGGCCTCATATAAACTCTCAAAAAGTTTCAGATTTTGAAGCATTTCAGAATAGGGATGCTCAACCTGTGTTAGCTCCAGCCTGATCCATCCTACAGGGACTTAATAATGTAGGTGGGTCCCTTGGCCCTTTACACGTCCAGCTTAATATCACCTTTACTGGGCACTGTGTGTTGCTCTAGGCCCCCTGGCCAAGCGCTGGGGATACCCAGATGAATGAGGTCCTTGCCCGCAGGAGTTTGTTGTCCTTCTTTTCAGCTGACATTTTTCTCCTGGCTCTATGAGGGGATCACTAGACGTGTGGAGCAGGCTGTAGCCCCTGGCAACACGCTCCAGCACAGGTGTCCCCCATTCTCCTTAACCTCAGTTAACCCTCCCCAATAACCCCCTCCCAGTTCCCTTCCCTCTGACTCTAGGTCCTCTCTCCACAGCCTTGGTGAAAGCTCCAGTCCTCCTTTTTGTCCGCAGTCGGCTCAGCCTAAGAGGCTCCTCTCATGTCTCCCCATCTCCCCCAGACCCTCTATCCCCACTACTGTTCCCTTTAGGGACCTCCACTCCTTTGCCCCCCAAAACCCCCTTAACAGCCAACGTCAGGCTCCTCGTTATTCCTGTCCAGGTTCTGCTAGACATCTCCCCCTCCTTCAGGGACCCCCATCACCTCCCCTCATCCTCCTCAAATACTCCCCTACTCAGAGACGCTGTCCTCAGCACCCCGGAGGCCTCCTTCCCCTCCTCGAGCGTCCTCCCGCAGAGGTAGGGACCGCATGCCCCTCGGAGTCCCTGCAGCCGGGCAGAGGCCTCGCCAAGTGTCAGGGACCGGCCCTGCCCTGGGGGCCTCCCGCTCAACGCCGTCCCCCTCGCGTCGGGGACTGCAGCCCCCTGCGGACCCTCCCAGCCCGCTCGGCGTCCTCGCGTAGCGTCAGAGACCTGCACTAGCCCCCGGGACCGCTATCCAACACCCGCCGCCCCAGTCGTGGGAGGGACCTGCACGCTCGG